CACTTTGGTTGGCGAAGATGTGTGTTGTCATTCCATTGACTGTTGCTTGGACTCAGGAGTCATGTGAGACACCTAAGTCTCATCTCCTGTAATGATGCGGTCCAACAATTCATCTCCTTCCTGATTGTATTGAGTCAAAAATGATAAAGCACTGCCCAATCTTTTTGTTTTGTAATTGTCAGAAAGCACTGGCTGACCTCTGATTTCTGAAGATTTCATTTGTGATGTGGATAACAAAATTCGAGAGGATCGACGATTTATGATTTAAATGTTATCAATTGAATTTCCACAGGTGTCATGATCAATTTTGTATACCATTGTTTCGGAAAAACTGAATTATCAAAAACTGTGTTCTTGGTGGGTTCCAAGGCTGCTTTCTGACAATCACAAAACAAAAGATTGGGCGGTGCTTTATCGTCATGCACATTAACCCGCCCATCCTTGAACATTCTCACCCACTTTCGAACAATACTGTCACTCATAGCATTATCACCATAAACTTCACAAATCTGAGGGTGAATTTTTGCTGCTGCCAAGTTTCTTGCACCCAAGAATCGAATAACAGATCATATCTCACAGTCGGTGGGTGACTCAATTTTTTTAACATTATAAACTTTTACAGCTCAGCACACAGACAGACAATACGGCTGCAAATGGTGTCTAAACGAGCTCAAAGCATGCTCAAAGCAGACGCACATACGCACTACTGCAATTGCGCATCATTCTCACTCTCATTCTCAAATGGACCTTATTTAAAAAATAGCCCTCGTATTTTTATTTAAAACTAAGCATTGGGTCACTAAAGGGTTCAAAGTGGAATCGAAATATTTTATAGAACATTTGCCAATATTAATTTATTTTCGCATACCCCTAAACCATCAAGCACAGGGGGATGCATATACCCCTTATTGGGAATCACTGCTATAGTGGATTCAATCTATCATCATCCGCCTACCTCTTGTGAGCAGTGAATGGAGCATTCTTAATGTATTTAATTCATGTAAGTGGCCCAATATCTCATCTGAAGTTGAGAGTCTAGGATTGCTTCCAAACTCAAAATTTATCTTGTTTGTCATTTCCTTATTTTCACCTTTCTATATCTGGATGGTTGTTTTATCATGTCATTACAGCAGCTTTAAATGTGGAGCCTTTTTTTTAAACCAAGTGTAAAAAAAAAATACTTTGATTTACCATTGTAATTCTTTTATTATTTTACACATGTTTATATCTTATAACTTTTAACTTTTTTACTGTTTTTATTTTATATGCAGTTTAGCTTTTATATATATTGTAAATTTTATAACTTGTTCTTAAGTTTATTATTATTTGTATGTATTTTATTGTTTTGGTGTATTTTGTTACTTATGTTTTATGAGTGACTACTTTTTTGTTGGGATAACTCTGCACCAATTTTTTCTTCCAGTAATTATAAATTATTTTAATTAATTAATTAAAAATTATAATTATTAAAGTTATTAAGAGATTGTGCCTAACACCTCCCCTTAAATGAAGCTGGACTGAATTTGAGACTTACCAAATTAATATATAGATTTGCCAAATAGTTAGATGAAGTTAATTATTATTCTGCATTATAACTTAATTTCTCATCACTTTCAATGTAAATATATCTGGTGTATAACAGGTTGATAAACCTCTCTCACTAACAGATCTATCATTCAAGTCAACAGATTGTCAATTAACAACATAAACAATAAGAATGATTGGATAATGGGCGAGTAGATCAAGACCATTAGAACCTGATGTCTTATATATGTACTGTACTGTAAACAATGTAAAAAAATTAAATATAGCAATACCAATTCATCATTCTTCAAATTAATTGTATCTATTAATTTTTTATTAATAAAGGGAGTTGTGCTAATTATGATGATATAATATAGGAGGAAGCTTTTATAATAATGATGCTCGATGATAGGAAAAGGATGGATAAGAAAATATTTTCCTTGTGTTTTCTTTGATGATGTAACATATGGATCACCCCCTTACAGGAGTCATTAAAATATTTTTCCTTTTATATAACAGATCAAGTGCTTTCAGATGTTCTGTATTTATGTAAATGGATTATGAGAAATAGAAAGCAGGATACAGGAAGGAAGTTGGAAAGAATTAGGAAGTTTAATTGACAACCCATTTTAGAAGAAATGCTTAGGCAGTTGGATTTGAATCAATAAAATAACCTAAGAAGAGCTTCATTTTGAATTAACTGAAAACAATCTGATTGATACAAATTAAGTTTAAGACATATACCTAAATACAGTGGGTGATTGGTTAATGAACATAATCCGTTCCAAGACTGTATTCACTATCCAAATTGTTTGTTAATCAATTATCGATTTACCATAGATTTTATGGGAATTTGATTAATTCATTCTGGAGACCCCCAAAAATAAAAAAATTATATACTTTCTTACTATGTTTATTTATATGTAATAATAAAAATACATGTATACACAGTCTTGCATTTTTATCAGTCATGTTTTTTCTGTTTGTGGGGTGTTAAAGAATCTGTCCAATGTCAGTTTCTTTTCTCTCTTCTTCAGGATTTTCGGAAGTAATTAATAGCATTGTCATGCAGAGATCCCTAAGCCTATTAACCTCAACCTGGTTTGGATGCATTCAAAGACCATTGTTCTGACATCCTCCCACTTCTTCAAAACATCTTTAATAGCAGATGTTGGCATTAATCCTCTTTTTCAGAAGAAAACATATCTTGCTGAGTTTCTTGTTGTTCTTCATTGAAAAGTTCTTGGTGTTCTTCTGTTATCAGATCAGTTTCAGTTTCCATTATGCTCTTCAGTGTTCTTTATTTCTCAGATGTGATTTTTGTTACTTCTTTAGCTGCTTGAGTCTTCTTGATTATACTATATGTTTCTATATGATAAGATTGAACTGTGGCCTACTGTAGATCTGTTTGAGCCATACTGCCCAGCAACATCAGACATCTTTTGCCCACTGTCTACCTTTGCTATTATACTCTCACCTTTTGAAAATAAAAATGGATGCAAAACTTAACGCATGCTCGCCAACAGTCTCGCAAGTACTATAAAAAAAATAAAAGACTGGAATTACAAGGAAGAGTTTCAAAGTTCAGAGGAATACTATCTGATCAGTATATACTGGGTTGAGCATCAATGTCAATGTCTCTTATGCTCTGAAAAATTTCAAATTGTTGTCTGAAGACAAGGGAATACCAATTGGTATTCATTATTTTACATCACTTCTTCTGTGAGGCATTCATTATTTCAATATGTGTTCATTGTCTAAACATAAAAATCTTTTACGAAAGTATTTGTTATCTGATTTGTTTGTAGTTCAAACTGTTTGTTAACCAATCACCCATTGTATTTAAAATTATCTGTTGTCTCAATTTTGACATTCTCAATATACTATATTTCGTTCTTAGATTATGGAACATTGTTATGATAAACAGTTATCTTGTTTTTTTTTTATTTTTTCATTAGTTATTAAGTTTGTAGACCTTGTAAAATCATTTAAAGCTGTTAACCAGGGCTGTGTTGTCATTTAAAATCTACTGACTCTGACTCTGACCAAGGGCAAACTTGTTACAAAAATAAACCTGGGAATTCTGACGTCATCTCAAAATAAAAGTTTCAATAATTAGTTTCAATAAAGCTAGAACGTAGAAATTTTTTTATTCCAAAGATAAAAGACTTCTCTAAGTAATGACATAGTCAATATATAAATAATATACTGTACAATAAAATATAAATACAACTTTTTCACAAAGTAAAACCCTTGCTCTTGTTCTTATTCCGTTGTTTTTCACCATCAGCAGTCCATCAAAATTTACAAAGATATGGAGACAACCTTTCTTTTGAGGGTACTGCCTCCACAACAAAATATGCAAAATATGGTAAAGCATCCTCTGGTGTTCCTACCATTATCATAATACATTTTGGTAAAAACAGTAAAAAATATAGCCATGGTTATTTACATTTAATACACAATAAAATATAAATACAATGTTTTCACAAAGTAAAACCTTTGCTTTTGTTCTTCTTCCGTCATTTGTGAAAAAGTTGTATTTATATTTTATTGTATATTAAATGTAAATAACCATCAGCCATATTTTTTACTATTTTACCAAAATATAAATATGTATTTGATAATTTTGACTGTAATATATAACAGAGGGAAAGTGTAGCAATTGATCAAAAACTGATCCCCCCAAATTTTTACAGTTTTGGACTCAAGACACTTTGAAATATCAAGATATGAAAAAGATTCAGGGGGGGTTTTTTCTGTATGTATGAATGTTAGAATGTGTGTGGCATGATTTTGTTCACACTATTTAAAGCTTAATAACTTGTGCTTTTTGAATTGTAATTGGATGGTTTAACACAGGAGTTATTAAGCTTCAAAGTGGTTGAACTAAATCATGCCCCCACACATCCAGAGTCAGAATAAGTGGATTTCTGATGACTCCGACTCCACAGTTCTGCTGTTAACTATTGCCATATCATCTACATTATTATATTTTTCCACTAATAATCAGTCCACTAGATAATCAATATATAGAGACTTAATTTCAGTTTAAATATAATACATCTCCAAGCTTGATGATATATTAATAAATCAACAAACGCTTTAACTAATCAGGCTATAATATGGCTATAATTAAATAATAAATACAAATGAATTTGATATAGAGGTAACCATTAGGTGCCGTCTCTTAACTAATTTAATAATTATAATTTTAATAATTTAGAACAGTCTGGAAGAAAATAACTGACCCAGGGCTTGAACCCACAACCTCTGCTTGCCGTGCGGTGTGCTACCAGTTGCGCTACCCGGACTCCAAGCCAGTGATCACTTCCAGATGTACTTAAATTTCTATATAACCTTCTGTTTAAATTCAACTGCATATAATTTCAATCTTATCTTTGTGTATTGCTATTAATAGCATACAGTATATTATTAAGATTACAGTAATAATATTATTTGTAATTTATTCACAGGCCAGAATATTGGGAACATCGCCCGAGTCTATCGATGGTGCAGAGAACAGATTTAAGTTTTCTCGTTTACTAGACACGATTGGAATTTCACAACCACAGTGGAAGGAGTTGACAAATCTAGAGGTTTGATAATTTAGATATGAAGTTTATTCTTTTTCTAATTAAATTAAATAAAATTAAAGAAAAGAAGATGAATTTGAATTTATCATCCTTTCCTAATTTTTCAAATGAACAATTATAAATAAAATTTAGAATTTTTCAAATTCAAAATTTTATTTATAATTGTCACAAAATGTTACAATCCTATTTATGAGCACTCATCAGGTGTTTTATCTTTCCATTTTAGAAGAACTCAAATTCTCTAAATGTCAATTTTCAAGTCAAATTTTTGAAACTATTGAATTTTACAATCAAATCCTGTATTATAGTTACATTTTCTTTTAATTTATTCTAATTCCTTTTTTAATGGCTCGTTCCAGTCTGTCGGGAAAGTTTCCACATCTCTGGTGTTTGTGCATTCATTTCTAAGCTCGTGTTTAAATTTCTCCCTGTTTATCAGCATTGTGGGGAATGGAAGTCTTATGATTTTAGATTCATCCCATTTGACTGTTGTTCCTTGTACATTTACAGCAATTGCGAATATACAGGGAGCAAGAATACAAAAAGAAATATTGAGGATGTTTATTATATGCTTATAAATCTGTTAGCAAATCTTTGACATTAATTCTCTATTTAAGAAAAACTGTTCATCTGTAATAAAAATCCAGCAAAATACTGTGTATATAATTCATAACAAATGGATTAAGAGCATCTTGGATAATGTAATTCTAAATTATAAAATTTAAGTTTTGTAACAATTACAGTTAAAATTTCTATTGTCACAAAAAGTCACCAGAAGAAATTCTCTTTAAAACTTTGAGCTCTTTTCAAATACTATGCATTATTTGGCACAGATTTATGAAACAAACCAGCATCATACTATACCATGTTCTCTTGTATTTGTTGGTAAATACTCTTCTTTAGTTCACTTCTGATAATCAATTAATCAGGACTCTGCCATATTTTTAAGTATGTCTTCATAATGGACTTCTTTGCTGTAGAATTTTTATAAGATTCTGACTCCATGAAGACTTCTAAAAGCAATTTTGCCTATTTGTAGATTTGTACTAGCTTAAAATGAAGCCGGGAAAAGCCTATAAAGAAATGTTAGTTCTGCTAGTATTTAATTGTGTTCCAACCATGTTGAGAATGACGTTAAAGTTGTGTTTATATTTTATACTTTCTATTTGTACTGTATATACACTATTCATAGGAAATATGAATATGAATAATAAAATAAAACATTAGTGACAGTTTTTAATCTCCAGTTTACTCTGTCAAATAATAATTACATAATATTTGTTATAAATAGCTTATTAGAGAGGTGATCTTGTCTAGAATAGGCAGAGCTTAAATTTCTTTTTATTTTTATATTTAGAAACTTAAAGATTATTGTGTAAATCGACTTAGCATCAGTCAAAATCTTTGGGTTATAAAGGTCATTGGGATATACTATTTTGATATATCTCTAAATATAAGAAATGTGTAAAGTTTAGTTCTACACTAAGGAATAAAAGTACAGACAAAGAATAAAATGTTTTATAAATAAATTATTTTTTGTCTGTGCTTTCATTCCTTAGTAAATGTATCATTAAACCTATCCTTTTGTCTTAATTGTTTCCTAGAAACAGTTGTTAAGTGATCTATTCTATTTGGTTCAATGAAAGTTTAATTTTCTAAAGAAATAAGTATACTTTTTATTTAGTAGACTTAAGTTGTTAATAATTTTTGTCATCTTTCAGACGGCAAAACAGTTTTGTGAAGAAGTTGGATATCCCTGTCTTGTCCGTCCCTCTTACGTTCTGAGCGGTGCTGCCATGAATGTGGCTCATTCTCACCATGATTTGGAAATGTATTTGACAGAAGCTTCTGCAGTTTCTAAGGAACATCCTGTTGTCATCACCAAATATCTTGTTGAAGCAAAGGTAACAAAATGATAATTTTTTTTTCTTTTTTGCATAAAAAACAATATAAAAATTATTTAAATTCACTAAAACATTTAAAATCTCTCTTTTTCAATATGAAAAATAAAATAATGTTCTTGCCAGTCTGATTGATTTTTAGCTTTATACATTTTATACAAGGTGTCCCACTTACTGAACCCAATACAAATGAATTTAAGCAAATGGCACTCTTTAGAAACTTTATTTTAACATTATTTAAATATAAAGAAACTTACAGAAGATGCTAAAAGTGGTGTTTGTAGGCATCTATGCATGTTTGTTTATGTGTAATCACATTTAGACTGATCTTATGTTGATAGCTTTGATGCTTCAGAAAACACTTTCCTTCATTCTTCATATAGTTCTAGAATTGGTTTCATATACTTTTTTAAATGTCTCCTATAATATTTACATCAATAATGCTTTATTATTTCATTTGGGCCAATTTTAAATACATGTACTGTACTGCCCTTATACAAATAAGGTAGATATTTATTGAATCTACATTTTAAACCTGGATACAGAAAAAGTAATTAACACTTTCCATGTTTACCCAAAAGTTTAAAAGACTACCAACAGATTCAAATTGTCATCCTTTGGGTATGTGTTCTAACTTCTGTTCATTGGACATACTATTCAGTACCAGATATCTTAGTACAAAAATCAGTTAGCTTCTCTGACCAAAGATTTAAAAGAGAGATAATGGTTCATTTATGGAAATACAGTTAAGATCTGCATATTTTACATCATCTTCTGTAGATGATGTAAAATATGCAAAAACGATTGTGATTCTTCTATGATTGTTATCCTACTTGAGAATTGCACTGTTTCTACAGAAACAGTGCAAGATGACAATATCCATATGAGTAAATGAGTACTCAGTTATGAGCATTGCTTACTTGTAGCTTAAATTTCTTACAAAATAAACCTCTACTTTTCAGGAAATTGACATTGATGCAATTGCAATGGAAGGAGAACTATTATGCATGGCTGTTTCTGAACATGTAGAAAATGCTGGTGTTCATTCGGGTGATGCAACTCTGGTTACACCACCGCAGGATCTTAATTCTCAAACATTATCTAAAATCAGAGCTATTTGTCATGCAATTGGAAGAGCACTGGAAGTGAATGGGCCTTATAATATTCAGTTGATTGCAAAGGTTAGTATTTAGTTAATGAAAGGTTAAAATATATATTGAAGCATAATTATATAGTCATATAAAGCTTTGTAATGCTGTTCTTTAAAAATTATAAATTTAAGAATTTAATTTTTTTTATGATATTGCAGGATAATCAATTGAAAGTTATTGAATGCAATCTCAGAGTATCAAGATCTTTTCCTTTCGTGTCTAAAACTCTGAATTGTGACTTCATTGCCCTTGCCACTCAAGTTATAATGGGTGAAAAGCCTGAAATTATGCCAGATGTTATGCTTGGTTGTGGAAGAGTGGGCGTAAAAGTCAGTAACATTTAAATTTTTTAAAACAAATAAAAGCATTGTAAACTATTTAAATTTGTTTTGATTTAAAATATCAGGTACCAGTATTTTCTTTTTCTCGTCTTGCCGGAGCTGATGTTACTCTGGGCGTGGAAATGGCCAGCACAGGAGAGGTTGCCTGTTTTGGAGAAAATTGTTATGAAGCCTATCTTAAATCAATGATCAGTACTGGATTTTGCATTCCCCATCACACTATATTACTTTCCATTGGAAGTTATAAGGTATTGGAAGTTTTTCAATAAACAATTAAACTTTGCAAATTATAGTAGCATATGCTTCAACTACATATACGAGGTCTGTTCAAAAAGTATTGGACCTTTGGTCAGCAAAAATACATTTATTGACTTTGAGGTACAAAACCCTAATCCCCTTCAAAGTAGTCTCCTTGGTAGTGTATACACTTCTCCCAGTGTTCCTGCCATTGCTGGAAACACTGCTGGAACGCATCTTTTGGAATGGCCATCGGCCGGTCCATCGCATTCCGCACGATGTCTTCTCTCGACTAAAATCGGGTTCCTTTTAGCGGCATTTTCAGCTTGAGAAATAGCTAAAAGTCACACGGAGCCATGTGGGGAGAGTACGGAGCGTGACAAACCACAGGAGTGTTGTGTTTGGCGACGAAAGCCCGAATCAGATGCGCAGAATGGGCGGATGCGTTATCACGATAGAGCTGCCAAGTTTTGATCGACCACGGATCTGGTCATTTGCATCGCACAGCATCGGAAAGACGACGAAGGATCTCCTGGTAGTACTCCTTTGCGATGGTTTGGCCTCGTGGTGCGTACTCACGATACACCACCCCACGAGAGTCGAAAAAACTGTCAACATGACCTTGATATTGCTGCGGCCTGCTGCGCTTTTTGTGGTCTTGAGGATCGTCCCCGAAAGCCTGCTGAATCTTGCGAATGGTTTATGCTCGGGTATCACCAAGGTTTTTGGCAAAATTTGATGTAATATCGCTGCTCACATTGTTCAGTCATTTTCCAACTTAGTGGAATCCGACAAGAGCTTGCTACATGTCCTCATTCATAGGCCGACTGCCAACAACTGACGCTTCCTGCAGGCGGGAAAAAATTCAGGGCTGTGCATGACTGTCCCCTCCACAACTCCACCGAAAGAGGCCTCCCGTGCATCATTGGTTTACGCGGAAAAAATAAAAGTCCGATACTTTTTGAACAGACCTTGTATTTAAATAATAATAGTATTTCTTAGATGCAGTCCTTATGAGTTTGTGTAATAGCAAACAATCCAAATACCAAGTACTAGTGTCTTGCTCCCTTGTTGAAAATTCTAATTTCATTGCAGTCTGACTTTTCAAGGAATTTTAATGCTCAAATTAATTGTTAATTTCAGTTATCAAAACTGTAAATTGATTTGTTTTTATATTCAATACTATCTATTTTATAAGACAAAATTGGCAGCACCACACCATGTTATCATCTTATTCTCATTCTTTTCATTGAGTTACATCTATTGTATTACTTGTTTTCAAGAATGCAGTTCTCAGATACTTGCTCAATTTTTTCAAGAATTGAATGAGTTTCCAAGTTCTTCATTCTTAAAAGTATTTAATTTTGACAAGCACTAATATTAAGAAAGCTCTGTGTCCATATGTCCTCTTGGCACACGATCTTCATTTCTCTGAAAGGTTTCATGCAATGTGATGACCATTAAACATGCAGAAGACTTCACTTACGTGTCTACAAGTAAAATATTAATTTTCCATATTATTTTGGTTAAGTTACTTGTTTGTACCTAACAACCTCTTCTGTTTTCACATTGGATGTTTATGGCTTAATAATAAAATTTCATACAGAAAATTATTCCATTCTGAAATTTTTTTCCATTTAGGCAGGTTGCTGTATATTTGGATTTTATGCTATTAAAGTTTTTCATTCTCTTCATGAAGAATTTCATTTGGGTCAAAGTTTAGTTATCCAATAAGCAAAAATGAAAGTATTTTTCTTTTACAATAGTCTGGTTTTACATAAATTCGTTGACTTGTCTGTTTAATTTTCTGTATGTATATTTTAAAGCTAACTGTCTCCATTTGGCCAACTAGTTCTTTGTTCTAATGTACTTTTGTTGTCTTTTCAACATGTTTCTTGTTTTGACTGTCATTATGAACTCATGACTGCCCTTTATCTTATTCCTAACTTGATATAAACTAATCATCTGTTAAAGTGTGTGTTGTTTCAGCTACTTTATCTTGCTTATTCTCTCCAAGTTACATAGTGATTTCATCAGTTTGTGAACTTTCATGTTGTCATAATCTGATGAAAAATTTATATATGTCTTATATAAGATACATGCAAAGACATTTATGTGATAATTTTTGGGATAAACAATCATAAATTGTAATATAGATTATATAGAATATGTAGCAATAAAATATTTCTTTCTTCATTTGAATTTTTTTAATAACATATATTGTTAAAGATTGAGTACTAAATGAACAATTTATCTTTATGAAACTTTTAATTTTATGTGAATAATTTGTATTGATTAAAAATAAAATTTATTCTGGATTTTTTTCTTTAGCATAAAGCAGAATTGTTAGCAAGCGTTCGAACATTGCAAAAGATGGGATACAAATTGTACGCCAGCATTGGAACAGCAGATTTTTATAACGAACATGGAATTCAGGTAAGCAGAGTTTAATATATATTAAACTTTATTTATTTATTTATTTTTTTAATTTATAAATAATCAAACTATTTTACAGGTTGAAGGTGTTGAATTACCATTTGGTGACATTAACCAGACGACAACGAAAGATCAACTCACAAGTATTGCTGATTATCTGTCACAAAAAGAATTTGATCTTGTGATTAATTTACCCATGCATGGTAGTGGTGCTCGTAGAGTTTCCTCATTCATCACCCAAGGTTACAGAACACGAAGAATGGCTGTGGACTATGCTGTTCCACTCATTACTGATGTGAAATGTGCCAAGTTGTTAGTCGAAGTATGACATTCATTTGAAATTTTTTATATTAACATTTTTAGTTAAAAATTTGTTGTTATCTCTTGTTGATTTTATAATGCATAACTGTAAACTTTCAGCTATGTTTATGAAGTACATTATTTTGCATATATACTGCTTTATCTTGTCCTGTTTAAATATGAATTTTGTTCTTGCAATACAATAGAGTTCCAGAAACTCAACTCTCAATAACTTGACATAAAACTCATCATGTCATTCAAAAACAAGCAAACAAAAACATACATATAATCTAATTTTTACCTTTATAACATACTGTAACACTAAGATCAAACAGTTATCCTTCTTCACTGGCGATATTTAATAATAGCATCATCACATGTTAATAATGTCCTATCAGGATGCGCTGTATGAAATATATAGTTTTACATCCTGGTGAAGTTCCTGTCTTAGAACTTTTTTTTCAAGATGCTGTTGTAAAATATCTCAATGCAAATGTAACTCAAAGGTAGCAACTGTATAGCCAATATTTTTAAATTAAAATTTAACTACAAATATAAATAGTCACTAGTTAAAAATATAAATATAAATAGTCACTAGTTATAAATATAAATAGTCACTAGAAGTTAATGCATATATGAATTTACACATATAACACCTGTGTGAAAATTCTACTATTTGGATTAGCATCATTGTTATGCTATAAAACTTGTCATTTTTGGTAACTTGTCATTTTCACAGTCCACATTGTCAAGTTTGTAGGACTATTCTGTACAACATAAAAATTGAATAATATTGAACATTGAAATTTGATGATGACACTATGACTTTTACTATAAATCACAATGCTAAATCCTAAAGTCCAGAAGTGGTTAACAATCTTGAAATATCATGTCAGAGTTGATTTATAAACATGTCTTATTTATGATGAACAGTCTGATTGCAATTCAAACAGTACACCAGTAGGGGATCTTGCACTTACCTGGAATCCATGGATAGCCCTGTGTTAGTCGCATCAAATGGATGAACACATTTAGATTAGCAACTCACAAATGCCAGTTTTTATTCTAAAATTGTGAAATTATGGGCATTGCATCAATTATATCTTTAATTTCTGCATTTCATTTCGTCTTCTTTCTAATGATTTAAAATACTTGTGGAATGAAGAAAATATGTTCAATTTCATGTAATTTGATCTAAAAACTCAGAAAAATAAACATATCAAATTTCAACTTACTGTAAATTATCTTAAGTTTCACAGATTAACATTGAGTTTGCTTATAATTGGAGATTGATAAGTTTTCTTTCAAAGTCAGGATAGCAAAACTTTATTACTTTCATAAGAAAATGTCAGTAGAGCTAGGAGTCAACCCCATTTCTAATGTAAACAAATTGCAAACTGTTTTTTTACCTATAAAAAATAAATTTTTATACCCTATAAAATGTTTCCTCCCATTTAGCAGTCAATCAAATTACAATGTTATTTGTTGTACTTGGAAAAATATTGTCTTTAAAACTAAACAATTAGTTTTGTCAGATCTGATTATTTTAATTTTATTTTTGTTTTTATGTGATATAGTTGTGCAGTTGTCAAAAATTAATTGCCTAAATTCAAAATTAATATTGCTTGAAATATTACAGAAAATATTAAAAAATTTTCTGATTGTTAACACAGGAATATTTTCTATAAGAGAAATGAAGCAATTGAAGAAATAATGTCTGGATCATCAAAAATTCATCAATTTATGACGTGATGTTGAATTGGTTACCTAAACTAATGTAATAACTTAAAAAATACTCTTAATATAATCAAATAAAGGCATATCTCACAAGGCCTGAATAACATTGTTATGAAATAAACAAAAATTTTAAAGTTGCAATCTTTACATTGTCAAAATTATTTTTCATATTTTCTTGTGACAAAGCAACACAAGAAAAATCACATCAAAAATAAATCCATTGGCCCATTTGAAATGAATTGAAATTAGTCCAGGTATGAAGGAAGTGTCTGTGAAAAACTTCAAGGAAAGGAGAGGATGGTAGTCTGAGACAATGGATCAGGATTTTGTTCAACAACACCAATTAACAATAAAGTACAAGTTAATAAATATAAGTCAGTATAATTAAAGCAGTTAATAAAAGAAATAGTGTGGATCACAGAAAAGTTTACTACAAAAGAGCCATTAGTACAGACAATAATAAATGGCACCTTTCAAACTTTATATCATATTATATAGGTTAAACTTAATGACAAAATTAATATTTAAATGTTTTTAAGCATTGATTTAATAAAATATTATTTTAGGCTCTTAGGTTAATAGGTTGTTCTCCACCAATCAAAACTCATATTGACTGCATGACATCACATCAGATTGTTAGATTACCAGGATTGATAGACGTTCATGTTCATCTTAGAGAACCAGGTGCCACTCACAAGGAGGACTTTACTTCTGGTACGTCTGCAGCTCTGGCGGGTGGTTTCACCATTATCTGTGCCATGCCAAACACTAATCCTCCCATTACCGACCAGACAACTTTGCAATTAGTACAGGAGGTATGTATAAAGTTTTTATCATCTTGACATCAATTAATTTTTAAATGAAATGTAATTATTATTATTATTATTATTAATTGAAAATTTAATAATTTTATGTTTCATTTTTATCAATTACAAAAGCTTGCCAAATCCGGAGCCTGTTGTGACTATGCAATATTTGCTGGAGCTTCACCCCATAATACGGAAAGTGTAAAGGATTTAGGACGTTCTGTTGTTGGATTAAAAATGTATTTGAATGATACTTATGGACCATTACAAATTCATTCTTTTAATGATTGGATGAAGGTAACTTTTAAATTTAAAATAATGGCTACAAAAATCTTATTTCTACTAAAATAGAATAGTTCTTTAAAATGTTATACATGTTAAATGTGCATATATTTTGCAATTGTTTTAGCTTTTATTTTTTCATCTTAATAATAAACTTAATCTCTATTAAATGTAAAAAATGATAAACTTTTAGATATTTTTTGCTTTATTTATTCCAAATATATAATTCAAATTGCTCTTCTCAGAGTGAAACCATTTTGGAAACAAAATTAGACACTTTAGTGATTATATTTAAACAAATTGTTAAAATCATATTACATACTTACTTGTATTCTGTAATGTAGTTTTAACTGTTTATGATTTAAATTTTTGCAACACATTCGATTCTCTGTTTCATTTTAATGGCCAGATATCTCAGATATCTAGCCCAATGATGACATTAAATAGATTGAGAGTATTTGTTTAAATAAAGTAATTTGTTGTCAAGATGTTTAGCTCTTTATAATTATACTAGTGCTCTTAGGTCACTTGCTCTTTCTTAGACAGAAACTAGATGGGCGTGTACTCCAAAAGCATTAGCATTTTCTATAAAGTTTTTCTTTAAGCAAATCAAATTGAGGATCTTAACAAGTACAGGTATACCTCGAGTTATATCGTTCTCGATTATACGTCATTTGTCAAAAAATATGTGGAAAAATAAAAATCAAGTTTAAGTCATTTTATTCGATCTGTCTGCCACAAATATTGAAGTCGTAATATCACTAGAAAAGTATTAAAGCACACAAAATCATATTAAAATATGTACATTTACAGTAAATGTTAATATAATCATCATAAATTCTAGAGAATGAAACATGAAAACATCTATGTTGTCGTCTTATTAATGGTCTTTAAGAGCTCAATATTGGTGTTTTCCACGGTAGCTCCAATATCTACTATTTGGCATCGTTGTCGGCACCACTCGATATTGATAAATTTAATATAAATTAGCTTATTTTCTACTGTCGCAAGATAATTTTAATAACTGTATTTGTTATTTAACCTTACAAAATCATCTTATTTTATAATGTCTTAGAGCAAACCACATTCACAAATATAGAGTTCATGATGTACTGTAAACATTGCCAAATTGTAAACATGTATACAGTATTTACAAGTATGTACTGTACTGTACATAGTACATAAATTCGTAAATTTAGATTACTTTTTTTCTGTACTATATTAAAAACTAAAATTTATTTGTTTGTAAGCTTAAAATAGATTCTTATTAACCATATACGTAGTATGATTCAAAAGTTCGGGGACTTTGCTTAAAATTCCTTACCTTAAAAAGTTTATATTGCCGATGCACAACCACCTTCAAAGTAATCACCTTGGGCAACGATACACTTTTGCCAGCGCTTATATAACTTCTGGAAGCACTGCTGGAAGCCATTTTTTGAAACCTCCCGTAAGGTCTCCTGCGATGCTGCTCTCACCTCATCTGATGACACAAAATGGCATCCCTGCAAATGCTTTTTCATTAATGGAAACAAATAAAAATCACATGGGGCTAAGTCCGGTGAATAGGCGGAATGTGGAAGCACATTAATTTGAGATTTGGCGAGAAACTGTGTGACCATTTGGGACAGATGTGCAGGTGTGTTGTCATGCAGAAGGTACCAGTCTCCACTTCGCCAGATCTGCGGCCGTTTACGACGAATGGATTCCCACAAACGACGTAAAATGTCTAGATAATTGAGAGACCAACTCAACATTTTCCTTGTTCCATGAAGTCGAAGGTCAGCCAGAGCGTTCATCTGCGATGGATTCTCAGCCCTCTTTAAACCTTTGATTTCACCATGGTAGAATCACCGTACACCTTTTTTAGCAATTTTGAAGTCTTCATAGATGTTTTACCTAAACACTGACAAAATTTAATGTTGCAGCGCTGTTCTTGAATCTCCATTTTTATTATGTTGCAAAACAAAGGTAACTATTTCCGAAAAAAAAAACAACAGCACTCGCGGTTTAATCATGTGACATGGGTGAAATCAACCTGAACATGTAGGGGTGATTTGATAAAATCCATTTCATACGCTGTAACTTTAAATACATGCTTTTGTTGTCATACATTACTGCAGTCCCCGAACTTTTGGATCGTACCATGTATTATTAAAAATGCATTTATAAATAAAATACAGAACTGGGAATGGTTATTTGTGGTTTAGCCTAGTGACAAGTAAATTTGACTTAAGTCGCCCCTCCTGGAACCAATTACCGATGTAAGGCGAGGTATACCTATACATTGTTGAATTAGCTGTGTTATACATTGTTGACAAGAGATACTTATTTTGTGAAATCATATTTACTTACCTAAAACACATATGTGCAGAGAATTGTTTGTTACAGATTCGTAATATTTCTATTAAAAATGTCGGGTCTTTTCTAGATAAACTTATTGAATAACCTCCTAATATGCAATATTTTGTGTTTTATTATCAGGGACACAATGAATAGAGATTTGCAACTACTAACACATGAACATTTAACATAAGGTTGGTCATGTGAAAAGCAACTGCATCTGAGGTCAAGTCCTGCAACTCTCTGTCTTTTGCCTTGTGATGGTCATTGCAAAGCATAGATTGACTGGAACTTGTAGGCATTTAATCAAATGGGTAGTTTGTCAGGATTAATGGTATGCATGGTATAAATATTGATTCTCCTTTACCATTGCCAGTTAAAATGGTATCTTCTATCACATATTTACAAAGGGCTTTGACTTGAAGTCTGGTTCCATTGCACAATTTCGCTGTATGTAATAAACACCTGATGAGTATATATAGACACAACCAACAATTGCCTGATTGATGGGCTAGAATTTGGCTAATTAAATGATTAATATAAAGTAATTTGTCACAAGAGGGAGGTGTTAGCTGCCATCTTGTGATTAAATTAATAATTAATATTTTTAATAATTTAGAACCTTCTGGAATAAAAGAACTGACCTGGGTTGGGGCTTGAACTACAACCTCCACTTGGTGTGTGGTGAGCTTGCCAGTTGCGCCAACCAGATCCCAAGCAAGTCTTTGCTTCCAGAGGTATTTAAGTTTGGATATAACCTTACTTGGTTAAACGTGGCAATGGCTGGGGATGACACCTACACCCACGACCTAAGAACATCTCCACTACGGCACTCAGCCAGCTAACATTTTACCCGGTGAGGTATATACAGTAGAGCATTGATTATCCAAATACCGATCAACCAAAACATCAGTTAACCGAAAGCAATCCAGTTGGCAAATTCAAATTTCCATCAGTGCTGTGGCCCTTAATATTTGGCTGTGTTGGGCTACTCCAGTATTATTTTTGTTGATGTGTGTTTTAGCTGGCAGCACTGGCACAATCATATTGTATCGTTAAAAGTTATTTCTTTATTTTGCACAAATATATTGAAATAAAAAATATAAAAATATATATTTTGGAAGTTAATCTAATATCAAAAACATTCCGATTCAGCATGACACGTGTTGAGAGGGTACTTAAGGATGCGTGAGTATTTGAACAGGCTTTTTCCCCCATCATGAGTAGTGTGTTTCGCTTCAGCTTATCAGAGAATATAGCCCAAGCGGCTAACATCTCCAGATGAACTCAAGAAAAAGAAAGAGTTTTGCTTGTTTTGTATAGTATTTTTCTGAGGACTGTGTTGTTGGGACGTGTGTCATGCTGAATTGAAACATTTTTGACAAGACTATGTCTTGTTTATAAAATCGTACTGCCCAATGTTCTTACCAGCTTAGAGGTATGAAGGAGTACATGCCGAGAGTTGATATTTGGCACAGAGTATTAGGTGCCCAAATCATTTGCGCATAAAAAAATCCAGACTCGTAGGTAGTCAGAGGACCGAGAATCGAGTAAAAATAAAATACAAAATGGCGACTCCTACAAACAGGCAAAACAGCCACCTCACCCCACCGAAGTCAGGTAGGAGAGAGTACCACCCACAGTCATTCTAAGTGAACTCTGACCTTAGGACCGAACACATAGTTTCTTCTATGTTAAATAAAATTTGTAATCTAATTTTGTAAATTTGGGAGTGCTTCAAATATGACATTAAAACGGTTTTATGTCGTTACAAGTGGGGGTTTTTTAACATTATCTAGTATATTAAAATTGTAGGATCGATAAAAATTTGACATTATATTAGGATTGTCGTTACATTCGATTACATTATAATCGGGTTAAACTGTATATTGTTTGTGCAAAATAAAAAAATAATTTTGGACAATACAATAGCCACGATTATTATTTTTTTAAAATTTTCGTTAGACTTAACATTGATGAAAATTCAACGTGAAGCAACACACAACGGAGAAAAATTTCAACATGGGATAGGTTAATATATTTTTTCATACATGATCAATTATCTGAACAACCCCAGTTTCGAATTGTTTCAAATAATTAATGCTCTACTGTATATATATAATAAACATCTTAACGTCCTGGTTGTATTTGTGTATACTCACTGGGTGGCAGCAATTCTTGAAGATGCAACTGCTAAAACAAATTGAAATTCAACATTGGAAAAACTAAAGGTACAATCTTCAATCTACCAGGGCACCCAAACTTATTTCTTTGAGTTCCATTTATAAAATGGGAGGGCAGAGTATCAAAATAGATAAAACCCTAAAGTTACCTGGGGGTATTGTTTGACCATCAGCTGGCCTGGGACGTACATATCAAACATGTGACAAAGCGTCTTATCTTCCAGGCTTTATCGGGCATAGCCAAGCATACTTGGGGCCTCTTGTATGAGGTACTTAATACAATATATGACTGTAAGTTTGCTGACCTGGTGGAGATTGGGGACTTAAAATTCCACTCCTCGGACACCAGTGTAAGTTTGCCGACTTCCAGGGAGAATCGTTAATCCTACGTCAGGTTGATCTAGGGTCGTTTGCATGTGGGTGTGGCAGAGGAGATATGGATGACAAGAATCTCACAAAAACCCATTTATTTTAAACATAAAAGTAAAT